AACTGCAGTCTCCAACCCCGACAGCAAATCTGGCCACACCCCGACAACAACTTAGCAAGTGTCCCGACAAGAAGTGCGCCCCTCCGACAGAAACTGTTGCGTTAAATGATGATGAATCCTTAACTATCTTGATCGAATGTGTTCATCAAAAAGTAGTAATTCTTTGCGGAAACATGTGTTACTGGCTGATAAAATTGATGCATATATAACACCACCTGATCGTCCTTTGGATGATTATAGTGATAATTCCAAAGATGATACATTCAGGACTGCGGTTCATGGACGTTCAAGCTGTCACGCTGTACCCATATGTCCCCATCATTTTCCACATTCGCGCGCATGGATTGGTATGGCACCGACGCCTTAATCTGACGTGCAAGGAGAAGTTCATGGATTCTTCGGCGCAGCCGAAACTCGAAACGCTAAGCCGGATTTCTTGAATAAGGCACTCCTGAGAGTGCGCTGGGTCAACTTCCCCCGTCCCACTTGCAAGTGTAGCTGGCAAGGCGTACGCCCTACCAGGAGAAATGCGGAAACATGGAGCTGAAGCCAGCCTCTTACCGCTTACTCGTCAAGGCCTAAGCCTTGCCAGAAATCCGCGTCCTCTTTCTCACTCCCCGTTGATGCAAGCTGCAACGCGCGAGTTGCCTGGCGCGGAAGGGGCGGCGGCTGCGATGTTTTTTGGCTCGCAAGTTTTTCCTCTACTGATGGCTTAGCCAAGCACGAGCTGTTGCAAACTTTCACATGTGGCAATCCCTTGCTTGCCGGAGCGCCGCAAGGCTGATCTAGCTGCTCTGCGTAGATGGCGGGCAAATTCCTTGTCTCGATGGGATTTGTGCCTGCCGCGACCAGAAAGGAGAATTGCTTGTTTTGCAAACAAGACGTCGCCACGACACGGTCCTGACGTCAAAGCATCCCAAAGCTGGTCGCTGATGGCATGATCTGCACTTCGGGAGTGCTTCAGCCGACTCATAAAGTCAGCGCTTATGCGTTGGACACAAAAAATATTTTCGGTGGTTGCTGCGCTCTATCTGCAAGCGAGCCGCGGAATCACAGGGCTGCTGTGTGGGACAATCACCTTGCTGCCATAGATGTCACCAGCATTTGGCTGTTTGCCATGTGCTCTAACCCACTTGTCCTGGCCAGCTCCGCCGATCGATTTTTCTTGGCTAACCAAAAAACAAACGGAATGAGCGTAAGCCTCTTCGAAGCCATATACACACACAAACACAAACACAGACACAGACACAGACACAGACACAGACACAGACACAGACACAGACGCAGACACAGACACAGACACAGACACAGACACAGACACAGACACAGACACAGACACACACACACACTCACACACACACACACACTCACACTCACACTCACACACACTCACTCTCTCACTCTCACACTCACACACTCCCACACACTCACACACTCACACACTCACACACTCACACACTCACACACTCACACACTCACACACTCACACACTCACACACTCACACACTCACACACTCACACACTCACACATTCACACACTCACACACTCACACACTCACACACTCACACACTCACACACTCACACACTCACACACTCACACACTCACACTGGGATCGCTGATGCAGCCGACTGACCGTCCTTCCGTGGACTATCTCAACATGCATGAGTTCACCTCATCCATAGCGATCGATATGATTACCCTGAACCATGGAAACCTTACAAGGAATCCAAAGTTGGACAACAGGGAGGTGTACAACATGCCGATGAAGGATCGACCGATCGTCAAGATGATGATGCAGAACAGTGCACACATCTTATGCCTGAATGAAGCAGACGCATTCTTCAGTCCGAATGATGAGAAATCCAGGGAGCTCATCAAGACGTTCATCCGATACGGTTACAAGGGCATCGTGATCAAGCAATGGTCATCCAGACCGATCGCATGCTTTGTCCGCGGCGGACCCTCTGCACGAGTGGAACTTCTGGCAAGACACATTTCCACCAGGAGCCAGAATTGGGGAACCACATTCGGAATGTTCAGATGTTTCTTCGGAACTAAAGGAGATGGCACTGATCCCGAATACGAAATTCCGACCTCGGATTGCTTGGCAACCACAGGAACATCCATGTTTACCGAACCCAACAAGTACATTGGATCGAGATTGCCAGCACGCACCATTGTCCAAGGACATGGCCGAGACAAGGAGATCGTCGTTCTCCACATCGAGCAGAGTGATGAGTTTCGTGGCATGATCCCGAAATCATCCGACAAGTCATACCGCGAGTATGACGACCGCCACATAACGAGGGCAGATCTACCATTCGCAACCATTGGAGTCTTCCACATCCATCCTTCACTTAGCCATGGAGCAGCAAAGGCAGATCTTCAGAATGAAATCATGCCGCTCGTGACCTTGTACCGATGCGATGCGATCACCGGAGACGCCAACAAATCGGCGAACACCTACAGCAAACTCCAGCATGTCTACAATCCGACCAACGGTCTCGTGAACATCCTCATGAGAGCATATCAGAGACTGTGGAATGCAACGAACAAATTTGCCACTCGTGGACAGAATGGAGTATGCCATGGAGACTTCGTGCACCCTGAAATCCATTGTCCGTCATCACCTGCACATGAAATGCGGATCAGGTTTTGATCGAACATTCCCAGATGTAATGATGACTATCGTATTTGGATGGGGCAAAACGAACATCCAGCAAAATTTCCGGAAGGTCGAGATGAACGGTATGGATGATGAACAACTGGAATTCATGCGGAACCATCCAACCAAGGCCATATTCGATTACCAGGTCTCATCCGCAGAGCGCTACAAGCACGTGAACAATGAAATGTTCATGAACGGCTTGCAGGACTCCGACTCCCACAGTCCTCTCATGGTTTACATCCGCAGCAACTCTGCAACCAGTAAACGCAGCTCTGAGAGATACCAGGATTACGTCAAGAAGAAGCAATCATCCTGGACCGCGCAGGAGTACAAGGACTACAACAAGCAGTGGGGATATCAGAAGCAGTGGAGGGACTATAGCACTTCGACCTGGAATGATTATGGAGACCATGGCAGTCAATCCGACAGCAGCCGCCGATGGTATCGTCGATCCGACTGACCATGAAGATACGTTCAGCACCACGAACAATCCAGATGATTGATCCTCCTCGTCTACAAGACTATACCGTGAGTGAGAGATCAATAGTTCCACAATTGTTCTGCGTGTACATAGCGTTGTACATCACCCTTTGATACAATTAGGTATCCAAAAAGAAGCGTATATAGTGTTTCCCATTTCGAAGGCCAAGACATTTCATCCAAGCAGAAAAAGGATGAATCCGGCACTTTTAATCACATGGCTACGGCACACATTAAGGCTACGGTCAAAGGCCATGAAGCCAATAGTATTTCATACTTTGTGCTGGAGATCAAAAGAAATTTGTGTCTGTGTTGTGTTCTGTTTTTCAGACCATTGATCTCCCGCAACATTTGGCTCAAGGGCCCCTTTTGCATAATCACGACCATCCGAGCGTGAAGACAAAAGAGCCATTGCAGGCCGCTTACAGGATTATCCACAAGACAATCCACCAGGGACAATCCATCCTCCAATCATCCATTACTGGCATCTTGGACTCTCTCCGGAATAGATTCAGGGACCAACAACGACCTCAACTATGACAGGGTTCCAGTTCTGTTTGGGGATAGGCACCTGGGGCAGTGGGCCTCCCCCCTCCCCCCCCCAACCCCCGCCCCCCTGTGGGGGTGGGGGGGGTGGTGGGGTGGTGGGGTGGTGGGGTGGGGTGGTTGGGTGGTTGGGGTGTGGTTCGGAGTTGGTTTAGGCTTGGTGGGTTGGTTTAGTGGGTTGATTTAGGCTTAGGGTTGGGGTTAAGGAGGGGTTGCAGGGTGGTTTGGTTTGGGGTAGGATGTTGCGAGAGGTGCGGGGGTGTTGGTTCACGGGGTGAAAGGGGGAGTCTGGGACCGAAGCTCACACGGTACTGGACAGCATCCCCAGCATTGCCAGCATCATCCCCAAGGATGCGGGGAAGTGGGGAGACCATACCATTGGGGGGGGGGTACGTGGCCCAGGGACTGGTACATATATACGGAAAGGCAAAGCACCGACAAAAACGTGCAAGGGTCATTAAGCCAACCGCAAAACACGCTCAAAGGCCAAACATGTTTCAGTATACTGAGGGACGCTTCTTACCATGGTCACTGAAGGAAACTGAGACCCACTGGTGAGATTCTTATGGAAGCAATTGTGCAGCACTGGAAGCTGACGGATCCTCGTGGCCAAAGGCAGCTGCTTGTGTGGCACTGGAAGGACGTAGTTAGAGTTAGAACTCATAGCTATGAATCAGCCGTCTTAACGAGGAACCCCCGCATGGAGTGGCCAACATTTCTCCATTGGGATGGTCGTCCGCAGCTACCACTCGCGGTAGTGCGGTTCTGACAAGGAGCTTTCCATTCATACAGGGTTTGCCTTGACCGTTAAGAGAATCCAGGGACCTCAGCAATTTCATGCCATCTCCTAGGCCTCCAGAAGCCAAAGGGAAAGAAGGACACTGTTTTGTTGTTCCGAAGCTGACTTTGAAGGAAACCCCTCTCAAAATGGCAGAACAACGGGTATGACTGGGATTTCTCTCTGCAGGCTCTCCTGAAAGGGACTCAAACCGCAAACCCTGGCTTTATGTTGGTTTCCCTTGACCGAAACGACAACCGTTTTCCCAACTCAGCGACAAACAAAGGAGTGCTCTCTTTTGGGGGGGCATCCTTGGGCCTTTTCAGCAAGAATCCCAAAAAAACACCACGCCCTTGTATGGGGTATTTGGCTCTTGCTCAGGGGCCTTGTTTGGTTTGCTTTGGGGGTCCCCTTTTTGATTTCCGATCGAAATCCACACTAAACAGTGCTAAGTGCTAAGTCCCAAAAAAAAGCCACACGGGCCAGACGTGGACTCCTTACAACTTGGAGGCCCTTGGGCCGGCACTCCGCCGCCCTCCTTGTAGGCCTCACAAGGCGAAGCCCGAATGGACCAAGACTCCAAACCTCTCGCACCAAGCTGCGGAACAAAACATGGATTTGTCCCTAAAGGGAATCTCAAAGTGGGCGGGTTCCCTTTGGTTTCCCTTCAGAAGCGGGCCCAAACAGGCCGCCAAAAAGAGACGCCCGCATTAAGCTGCTCATTTCAAATGCTTGGGCCTAAACAAACCATGTTAAGAAGAGATCTGCAGATCTGCCAACCTCAAGCTCATAGCTTTTGTGCCATTGATCACAGGGCTCGGGCCAGAGGACTTGTGCCTTTGCGGCAGGTGGTGTCAAACTTCTGGAAACTCATTTGTCCAGGTCTGTCGGGTGAAACCCATTTAGATCTGTTTATTCACAGAATTACAGATCCCCACCCCGAACTGAGCATCATCAGGACCCTTGGACCACCCCGACCCCCGCCACTGGGTTCTTCAATACCTGGATCCTCCAAGGTGTGCTTTTTTTTGTGCTCTTTCAAGAAAAAGTGCTTTTTGGCCGAAAAAGCGCTTTTGCTTGATGTGGGCTTTTCCCGGTGATGCATGCTTTTCTTGCTTGGGCTTGTGCTGAAAAAGCGCTTTTCCCCGGTCAAAAAGCGCTTTTACCCGGCCAAAAAGCGCTTTTTCTGACACGCTTCGCGGCAATCTTGAAAAAGAGCATTTGTTGGGTCAAAAAGCGCTTTTTGAACGAAACAGCGGAAATTGTAGCAGTTTCGCGAAACGGCAGAAATTTTGCAGACCCGGAGTGCCCAGGTATGTTCCATTTACTTTAGCCAAGCAAACCAAGGAAATTGTACAAGAGGGCCCGCCTCAATGGATGTGGATCAGCCTGCAACCCAAAAAGGGCTCCCCAGGAGATTTGCCTGAAACCGGATGGTGTTTGGATGGTTTTGGGGATTCCATGTCTACAGTGCAATCCCAACGTTCCATTCGTTCGATGGCCTTCTTGAGGATCTTCTCCTTCTTCTCGAAGTCTGGGCCGCCCTCGAAAGGCACTGGTATGTCTCAAAGGGACCCCTCAAGTGGCTGGGTTTTATGGTGCATTCCCCGATTCTCAAGCCAACCTGAAGACTGAGAGGGTTACCCGGCAAAAGCATATCCCCTCCCCAACATTTAGGGGGTGCCTGCCTTTCTTAGGAGCCTTCTCAAGATAGTTTCTACATTCGCTTCTTTATCGGGAGGGTCAAGTGGCAAATGCCCTTGCAGGTTCAACAGACAAGGTAGTCAGGCAGCGATGCTGCAACCCGACGCGTCGTCGCTTTCGCGGTTGTGAACACGGCCCCAAATTCCCTTTGGCCATGGGAAGCAAAGGGCGCTCCGCCGTTTTTGTTGGTTTGTTTTGAAAGGAAGCCCCTCCAAAGAGGGGAAACTGGCAACCACCGGAGGTCTGGGCAGTGAAACCCCCGTGGCCTGAGTCCACAAGGGATGACACCAGACAACGAGGGTTTCGAATCATCTTCTTGCAAGCTGGCGGTCGCAGTTCCTTCACGGTTGGTGTCCTTCAGGCAGCAATTGCAAAGTCGATCCACAAATCTTCATTGCAAAATGCCAAATGGAAACATCCGTTTCTATGCTGAAGAGCAACGTCAGATCCACCTAACTCAGCTTTGCCCCCAACTAAAAACTTCACATGTTGAATTCTGGTCGATATTTAGCGCGCCTGATATGCAACATATGTTCAAACATGATTCCAGCTAATAAGACGACCCCCCGCTCCGACCCTCAGCTTGCAATTGGAGTTGTCTAGCTTCTGCCGCGGTGCACCAGCATCATGTTCAATATCCATTCTGTCCAATCCAAACATCATCCCATCAAAACAGACTGGAAAGGTTGTGTTCGAAAGGGGCATTAAAGAAAACAAACATGGGCCCAAGACATTAAGTCAGCATACACCCAACAAATGATATTTAAGACACTTAACGCCCAATTGATCATGTGACAAAGCCTCTTTAAAAGAGGATCCTTTGGGGCGCCCGCGCCTTTGCCCGCCTTTTCTGCCATCCCCCCTCGCCTTCGCCCTCCCTCAGGCCCCGGCTCCGTCGGGGAAGGCCGCCTTCCTGAGCGCGCGGGGCGAAACACGGGAAAATTGCGTTTGCCCAGTTTGCCCAATGATTGTACGACAAGTTCTTACGGGCCTGAATGCCGTGTATGGCTGTGGGTCAATGTACCCCTGGTGAACATCAAAATAGGTGGTACATGGGTGTTCATCCGCCACAAAATGGAGCCATAGGTTATGACCATGCCGTATATAAGTTCTGGGCTTTTGGCCCAACCACTTTTGCCTAGTTTTTGCCTCTTGTAGATTCGAACCAACCAATAGGCATGCTCACCGTTTCTTGCCTTTGTGGTTTGCTTCTGTTCGACCCATCCCTGCGACTGTCCCCTGCTTGGATTCAGATGGATTCGAGACAAGTTAACTTCTTGCTGGTTGAACAAAATGATGGAAACCCAAGAAGGCAAAAAGCTAAAAATGGTAAGCTAAGTCTGGCTATGTTTAATGGGGCCCCTCTTCTTTGCTAAGCTCGGGTGAACCCGCACACGAGAAAACCACACCTGAGGGAATTCTGGTACAGGCGCCATTTGGGCCTGACAAATGGAGGATTTCAGGGTTTCCTTCAGGCCAATGGGCTTTGCTCGTCTTTTTGCGTTTAACCAAGCTGCTTTTTATGCGCCCTTTAAACATCAACCCAAAGGAAACTCTTTCATGGCTCACAAAGGTGAAGGTTTTTAGCGTCGGGGCCCAAGGTCGGAAGCTAAGGAAAGCGCGAGGCCGAACTGGCAACCCCTAGGACAGCGATTAGTTAAACTACTAACGTCAAATGCGGGTGACCTGCTCCCCTCTTTGGAACAATACCCAACAATCATGAAATTGGTCAAAGGACGGTTTCCAAGCGGATAGATGCCTATGGTAGTCGTCCAAAACCCTCCGATCGTCCAGACCACTCAATACGTTCCGAAGCACTTGAGTCATCCAACAAGTCGACGCTTCAAATCATCCAACAAGTGTCAAATGATTTTGTGCCAAACCAGGAAGACCCAAAAGATTGTGGTGTTCCCTTGGATTTCCCTTTACGCTAAGCTGAATAAGCAACACCAACACCCAACTCCCAAGCGAATCGCCGGTGCGGGAGGGCGTCAGGTTGGCCACGCCCGCATCACTCAGGTCCTCCGGCATCTCCCGGAGCCTCTTGCCCAAAGCCTCGCAAAGGTCGCGGCGATTTCCCCAAGGTAGACGCCTGAAGGTTCAAATGCAACCCAAAAATATCCCCGTTCTTGGAGGAATCCCCCTCCCGTTTTGGAAGGAATCTTGTTTTGGGCCCCCTTTTCGGGGTCCAGGTCAAGAGATGCTGAATTGTTGGCAACCCAGACTTCCGGCCATGGCAAGAAGGAGGGCTGTTGAAACTAGAAACTAAAGGGGCACCACTGCAGGTCTGGGGAATGGGTCAAAACAAAGAGCCGTGTTTGGGATGCTGTCAGAAAAGCCTCAACAAAACCACGAGGTCCGCATGACAAAGAATCACGCAGGGTCAACAGGAATCAACCTAGTCCCCGATCACTTGTCCAAAACCCCACTGGCTTCTTCGGAGGCTACTGCGAATGGTCAAAATTTGCCAAGCATCCTAAGCTCCAAGTCAATGATAGCCATCTTGAGGCGATTGCAAAAGCTGATCAAAGACTCTTCTGGCTCTGCGCACCGCCTGTGACATGGACCTCGATTGAGCAAAGGGGGAAGATGTTGGACAAGCTAGCAGCATGCTCCAAGGTGCCAAAACCATCAAGCAGCATGAAGCGCAATCATTCTCATTCTGGGGTTGGAAACAGTACATATCATTGGAAGCTGCACAACAATATATCATTTCACGTTTGTTCTATCTCTCTGCTTTGCCCACGTCTACAAGAATCTGAATGATGAGTCTGTAGCAAATACACGTACACATGGACCCTGAAAGGGACCTCCTGAAAACCCGTTTTCCTCTAACAGAGGCCCCTCTTTCAGTTTCCATGCTCGTTTTCGGGAGGGTGACAAACATTGCGTGACTCCGAACCCTCCCATTCCGATGGCAGGTAAAACTGCCTGTCAACCGAACAGCTCTCTCCTGCTCAAAAGCCCTGACACAAGGGCCTTTCCTTCAACCAGCAGCCGATTCACTTCTCCACGTTCCTGCTCCTGCTTGGTCTTTCACCGGCCCAAGCTGATCTATGCTCATTCGATGCATGTTCCCAAAAGCCTCTAGTCTCTCACTTCGAGCCCATCTGGGTCTGTCAAATTGGGGAACCCCAACAACGGTGCTTTCCTTTTGGTTTCCCTTTGAAACCCCAACAAGGGTACCCCCCTCCCACCCAAAGAAAATGGAAACACCGATCTCCCTGCTGAAAGTCCTCCAATGGTTGCAGCCCAGCGACGTTCCAGAAGGATTGGTGCTTCGGCATGACCGGCGCCACCACCTCATGCTCCGACATGCGTTGGTCGCGCGAGACTAAAACCAAAAAGTTTCCACCATCCCACAACCACATGGGCGAGTTTTTTGAAGATACCGGCTTCAGCTTGCTTTTAAAGGGAAAACCACAATTTTGGAGGATCCCCGCCTTTGACACATACCCATATGGCTTCCGGACCTGCTATTGATCTTTTACAATTCCAAACCCCAAAGGACGAATCCCTATAGGTGAAGGACCTGTACATCATAGTGAGCTCGCTTTACCCCGCCCGATGATCGGTGAACTCGAAACCCATTCGGCAGATTGAACATTTGGCATATCCACAGGAGCTGGTAGATGGTGCTGTCTTAAACCTTTGGAACCCCCCCACCAGTACAAAAGGCAGGTGTTCCCTCTGCTTTCCCTTTGTTTTACTCCAAGAGACGACGCCCAAAAACGACCCCATGCGGCTGGCTTCCTTTCAGTGGGTCACCGCTCCACCCGTCGACTGGGCAAAGTGCGAGCGCCAGCTTGGCGAGCTGGTCTGCGGTGAGCTGGCCTCCCATTTCTGTTGGCTCCACAGACATGAACATGTGGGCGTGGCTCAAGGGGGAACCAAGAAGGCTTGTTTTTCTGAAAAATTAGAGGCAACCAAAAGGGAGTCCCCAGAAAAAGGCAACGGCACCACCCATGTGTGTGTATGTGTTTTTGGAGGGTACCCTTTTTCACCCTAGAGAAACCAAAAGGAAACAGCCCATTTTGGTGGTTCCATTTTCACACACAGACCCTTCTTGGCACAGACCTATGTTGGCTGCTTGTTGCAAAAGGGGACCCTCGGCAAGAAACAGACACACACACACACATGCTGGAAGCAAAAATCGTTTCCTCTGAAGGTGGTTTCCGGGGGGACACCTGATATTGTTCACATAAACATAAGTGACCGGGAACCCCAAAACGGAGTTCCGCCAAAACAGAAGCATCTTTCATGTTAATCTGCATGAGAGTAATACAAGGGGTTCATACTTGAGGAGCGGGTGAACGAAAGCTAGCAGTTGTTGCATGAGATGGGTCGGTGACAGAGTGGATTCATAGGTAGCTCGTGTACAACGAGAGGCCCGGCAAGATTCGTAGCATACGGCACGCAGACGCACATGGTGGCGTGGCAAACCTTGCAAAATGAAAACAACGAGAGGCGTCAGAAGCTGTCTTAAAGCACCTCTGGGTTCTGCATGCTGCGTGTGCAAAGATTCTTGCGAGGTGGTTTACTGAGAAGACTGAGGTCTCAAATGAACAAGCTGAATCGGTGGAACATGTAAAAGTTCGTAGCACCAAGTCCAAAACGGGCAAACCGAGACTGCTGAAACACTGAGCCACTGCCCGGGGGGAGGGGTGGACCAAGGAGGAATCGAGCCTGAGACGGGGGGGGGGGGGTCTAAATAATTGTTTTTTTTCAATCTTTTCGGCTCAAATAATTGAAAAGGCAGTTGATTGAGCCCCTTACCTTGCTTACGCAAGGAGAAACTTCAGCTAGCTAAAGCTAGCTTTCGTGATATGTTCCACCTGAATGGCTCACCCATCCAAGATGCTGGTTTCCTTTTGGCCATGCTTTGAACGGCTATATCAAGCGCCTGGATCCACCACACACACACACACACACACGAACAAACGCATCCATCTGCATGTGCCTGTTCGAACAAAACAATGATGTCAGCGTATTTTACATGTACGATGTCAATGAATAATACTCTAGTAGCTGCGATAAATGGATGGGGCAACAAGAAACAGGGGTCAACAATAGCCCCCCCCAAACGATTGCTTGCTTTCCACTTTCCACCAATTTATCACCTAGCCCCGAGCACTTTGGGGCGATGCCTTTGCACCGGGATTTCTCTTGGCCCAGACCAGTGAAGTTCCGTGGGAAACCCCAACCAAATTGTTTGATAGCTTCTTTCTTTTTCGGCAGAGCCCGGCAAAAATAAGCAGACCCGCTGGAGGTCGGTATCTTTTAATCCCAACTGTTCGCGCCTTTGCCTTCCAACTCCTTCCGCCGCGTGTCAATGGAGTCCGGGCCCAGCAGCCCCTCCAACCTGAGGTGCCGGTGCGGTACCCTTGAAATATGTGTATTTATGTGTGCGTATATGTATATATATGGTCCCGTGTTCCGTGTTGCTACCCCCCCCCCCCCCATATGGTATGGTCCCCCAACACCCCGGCCCGAGACCCCGAGCCCCTGGATCCTGGCACCTACGGTCCCACCCCCACCCCGACCCCCTGAACTCGCACCCCGACACCCGGCACCGCAACTAACCATAAACCAACACTAAACTAACCCTAAACCAACCCTAAACTAACCCCAAATACACCCTAAACCAATCCCTAAACAATAAACCCTAAACCTAAACCAACCCTAAACTAACCCTAAACCAACCCTAAATACACCCTAAACCAAACCCTAAACCGTACACCTCTGAACCTAAACCAACCCTAAACCAACCCTAAATCAACATAAGTCAACCTAAATCAACCCTGAACCAACCCTAAACTAACCCTAAATACACCCTAAATATACCCTAAACCAATTCTAAACCAACCCTAAACCACCACAACCCAACCACAGGACCACAACCACAGGGGGGGGGGGTACTTGCCTGACCCATGACCATTGGGGGGGGAGGGGGGGGGAGGGGGGCTGGCAACGCTGTACCATATATATATATATATGTATAAACTAACCCCGTCGTATTTATGGTTCGTATGTGTATACGTACAGCCGTTGAGAGAGCAATGAAATTGGCCTCTTCGGTTGTTGGTAAAACGTATTATAAGCCGACCAATGGGTACACAACAATCACTCCCCAACAATTGCAGACAATATTTGCCTACAGGATATCTATATTCCGTAATGCATTCCATATCTGATTCATTATCAAATGAAAGAAGGATGTACAGTAACCCTGCCAACATAACGCAGCCAAATAGAACCCCCAACAAAAAGCAACATAGAAGCGCAACTTGTCCAAACCACGAGCAACACATTCCAACCTCCTGCTTCGTGGAATCAAAGCTGGCAACTAGAGGTCCGGGCATTGCTCCTTCGGACCCTCGCCAAAATCGGTACTGCTTCCTTCCCACTCATTTCATTCTACTTCATGAACTCCTCTGCATCCTTTTGCACATCGCTTGTTGGCGCACACATACACACATCAAAATTGCTGCCAGAGGCGTTGCAGTCTTCAACCTTGCTGCTCAAACATGAAGAAGTGGCTTGTTTTCAAAGAAATGCAAGTTGTTTTTGTGAGGCAACATTCCATATTGACAATGTCACAAGCTGCCGAGGCACCGGGTAGCTTCGTAGAAGCCTTGGACCGAAGCCGGCTTCAGAGTGTTTATAATTAGTAGTCTTCTGAAACTCTCCGATCAGCTTTTATAATTAGTAGGGAGTCAAGGCTTGAGCGGACTCACTATCTACCACGTGCACAGTAAAAATTGTCGAATTCCTGTCTCCAGAATTTGCCTTTCAATGATTGAGTTGGACTTTGTGCTCGAAAACTAATAACCCTTTGGGTTATTGACCGCTAAAATGTCAACCAAAATGGTGGTTGACTTTTGGTCTGGTGGAAAAGACAACGTTTGACATGGTCAAGATGTATCTGTTTAAGCGCTGTGAAACTAGGATTCAATGCGCCACAGACTTCAAGCTCTCGCCTGCGTTTGTCGAGTCTGATGTTCGACTCAGTCACTCGCATCGGATGGAGAAACGCTGGCAGATGCCAGGAGAGGAAGTGGGAGCGAGAGGGAGTGGGAGCCACGCAAGGGCGATGGTAGAAGCAACTTGGGCACGGCAGACTACTTGTGCCAGGAGCATGCTCCGCACCCTCGCGCATGCGTCTGGAAGACGAAAAGTTCACTGAAAACGCGTTTACTGGGCACAGCGCATACCTGTGTACTGCTTTGCCGTAAACTAGTCGAATTGCCAAGCGCAAAAAGCGAGTAGATCGGGTCACGGAAGCGCCGCGGGACAGTGTGGCAACACGACTTGGAAAGTCGCGAAGAGCTGCGCTGAAGCCCAAAGCGAGTCTGCAGTTCACCTCCAAGCGACTAACCACAACACCCCAAGCTTTCAAAGGCGTCGCTTCACGCCAGCCCCACCAAGCATGCCCACCAAGAGCTGGAAATCGCTTGCGCAGTGGAATAAACACAGCAATGCCAACCTCGATGAACTAATCAGATTGGCTTTCAGCAGGTTTCTTTCTCCAACAAGTTCAACATCTACCCAGCCAGTGGTCCTTTATTCCTGCGTCTGCATTGAAGCACATCACACACACACACACACAAAGACACACACACACACAAACACACCGCACTTCTTGGAGTTTGTTGATAAGTGTGTCAGTCCCTGCTCATTAGCCCAAGAGAACTGACACCGCCCTCTTCAGATTCATCCAACCCGGAAACCACTGCCATCTGGCGTAATAATTGAGAACTAGATTTAGAGCAAACAAGAACAACCATGTGCTTTGCTTTACCTGAAGTCTGGAGTCTCCTTCTGACCCAATGGGGTCAGTACCCCTGGCACTCCGCAAAGCAGAACCCCGGAGCTTCCGCCAAGCTGCTTGCAGCCCAGTTGTCCGCCATCGTATTCAGCGCCGGGTGGTCCCCTCCTGGCGACATGGAAGCCATCAGGTCTCTTCAAGGAAGGCCCTCGTCCCTGTTCCGCGGTACCCAAACGAGTGGTTCTAAAAAGAATTGGTTGGTATTGATCGGGAAACCCAAAGGAAACCAAGCAGTCTAAAGGGTACCCATATTTTGAGAAACACCCAAAAGATCAAAAGACTTGTCCAAAAGCTCCACTCTCCAACGAGTCTAACTCCCCCGTAGGCTGCCACTTGAGCCGGGAGTATCTGGATCAGATTTACATTGGCCAGTTCTACTTTCTACTTTTCCGGATCGCTGATCAGATACTCATATTGTTTAGAGGCCACTATGTACATGCACATGCACTAAATGTGCAGCTGAAAATAATGCCAAATCCAACAACAGCAAACAACTAGGTACTCCCCTGCGGATTAACATGGAACCCCAAAGGCAATTCCTCGAAACATGACAGCTGTTTGGGTTCCATGTCTTTGGTTTCATTGCCGAAAGGGCTCAAAGACCATTGCGGGTTTGGCTCGCTCATGGTTGGTGTCCTTCTAATCTAATTTCCCTAAACATCTAGAAAAGGGGGGTTGAAACAAGACACACCCAATTAAATCATGACCGAGTCTTCCGGCAAACTTGGGCACAGGAAGCCACGTACCTCCACTTGGTCCAAGGTTGCCGGCTGTGTCATCCACGAAAGTGGCAAACCATCTTCCACTTGGACTTGCACGCAGAATGCACTGTGTTTTGCCTAATCTTATCTTGAAGTCATTCACAGCTGTCTGAATCATGGGTCAGGCCTTGCACATTGAACTTGGAATGTCTTCTAGGTCTTGGCAACACCTATGGTCCTTCCGTGCGCTTCGGGCGTAAATAACGAGAGGCGCTTCGCCTAATGGCAGCAGGCCCTGCATGAGGAGCATCATCTGCGAGGGCTGGATGTCGCTAACCCTGGCGGATGGGTCTGGTAGGTTGAAACACCCATCTGGCTATGACGTTGTTTCACTATCTGTACCCATTGTTGGTTAATTAGATATTTGGACCCATATTTGGGCATGACTTTTATTGGGGAGCCAAATCAAAAGTGGTTGGTGGATACAAATACCGAATCTTGTCCACGAAAGGGTCCGGGACCGCTTAAAACTCACACCGAAGTTTGTCTGGGTAGTACAAAACTATGTGTGAGGCGTTTTTGGGGTTTTGGATGAGGGCAAATCACTCGAACTCCCAAAAAACATCAGAGGACCCCACTGGTCAGAGGAACCCCTAACATAAATAATTTCCCTACTAATCCGAAGTGAACATTCAATCGGAAATCAGGGAACCTAATGGACCTTCATCATGGGTGAGCTTGCTTTTACCCCGCTCAGTAAGCTCCCTGTTACTATAATCAGTGTCGACAGATGTTTTACGGAACAAAAACAAACACAACATGATGAATACAGGCATGGCCGAAACTGGTAGGATCAAACAACATTGGATATGCGCAATTACTCTTTCAACGACTAGCTGCCACGGACCGAGGGGAACTTTGGCATGTGTGGACCGACCTTTGTGAGTTCACGTTAGTGTAATGTTACATAGTGTACCCAATGTCATGTTTGTACAGTAGATGCAGTCGACATTCACTCCTCCCCTCAAAACAAAACGCCCTGCCCAACCCCTGCCCAACCTCCCTTGCCCAACCCCCCCCCCCTCAACCCCAATCCGTTCGCGAGCCGTCGACATTTTCTCGTGCGCCTGGTGGTGGCGGTGGTGGCTGCCGCCTCCAGCAAGGGACGGCAGGCCTCCACCTTCGTCACCGCCAGCACCACCTCCCAGCGCTCGATCTCGGATCTTCGGCCCATGGGATACCGGGGCCCCTTGCGGGAGGTTCGGAGGGCCCTGGGCCTCGGGGGCGTTAGCCGAAAACACAGAACAAGCGGCAAGGTCAAACATACGTGGTTCGAACCAGCTCAAATGTGAGGTTTTTGGGCGACCCTGCCCTTGCTTCCCCCAGAGACACATGCTTAACGCTATGCATATGTGTATTGTAACATCTGTATGCTATACGTGCACTACCCCGAGGCTCAGAACTATATGTATATGCTATACATGCACTACCGCGAGGCTCTAAACTATGATCTCCACACAAATTTGTCCGATATACTCCCCCAAAACAAACTAACATTATCCAAACCCATGTTTGATGCTTTGCCTGTCTTCTTTTTGGGGGGTGGGGTTCAGACTGCACACATCAAACTATGTTGGGGGGGGACCTTACAAGGTTTGACCGGAGGCCTTGATGAGCTGCACACTGGAGAGCTCCGACAGCTTCGGTGGGATGACCTCTCGGCAGTGGAGTGAAGAGTGGACACCTGGATCCCACGTGCCTCTATGTTAGCTAGGTCCTCCAGTAGAGAGGTTCGAATAAGGGTGCCTGTTTTTCTGTAGTCTATGTTGGTAGGGGAACTCACGCCCAAAAAAGGGGTAAAAGGGCACTACTAGAGGACCTAGTTAGGCAACCTGAGCAATTGTCCTTGTAACTTGTTTAACAGGTGGGCTACTGTGCTTGTAATTATTCTAAAGGGGTGGTTGCGTTTGTTGCCTGCGAGGCAGGGGAATGGAATCACTGGGATAACAAACACTGGACCAAGCTATGGGTCTTCCCCCCAAAGCAAAAAAACGGCTAAGAGACACCAAACCCGCTGGAAGCTCAGTTGGGAATATCATGAGCCAACCAACCCCGAACAAGCAAAACAAAAAGAAACAGGACCAGCCAAGGATCCATCATGGGAAGTTTCACCGAAGAGAAACGACCGGAGAGGGAGATTCAACTTGGTGCTCAGTACGGAGCCAGCAAGGGTGGATCCCTTAAAGGTTGGATAGATCGATACGGAACACTCCAACTTCCCCTCGAGTTCATGGACTGGACTGTGCAAAAAAAGGCAAGACTTGTTATTGTTGTTCCCCAAAAGGAAATGTAAAGATCGGTATGTCCCCTGTGCATAAGAAATATTGTAATGGTTCCCCCATGTTCTGGCAATTGGGGTATTCTTGCCAAACATGTAATCAAATTCCAATTCACAAGAGCGCTGCATTCATCCTTCCTGTAAGGTAGAAATCGGGGGCTTGTTTCTCTGGAAGGAAATTGAATGGTTGCTCTAAGAAAAATCAGTTCAGAACTCAAGCCAGGCCCCATACCAGATCTTCCAACCCAAAGGTGAGAAATACGGGGCGGCTGTTTTCAAAGTGGTGGACCCCTTGGGATGCTTTGCCGAAGCCAAACTGAAACAAGATGAAACAACCCGTTTAACGTGTTCCCCTTTCAAACACATCCATGATTGGGAATTCGGGAACCCTGCGAACTCCGAAAAGTCGAGTCCACCCCCTGTTGTTTCATTCGCTGTAAGCTGCGGTTGCACTCTTCTGGTACGTCGGGTAACTTGAATGCAAAATGGGCAAGAAAGCAGCCAAGAAACCGCGGGACTTTGGGTCCCACCTGGAAAACTGGGAGGGGAGGCAGCCGCCACATGCCCCTTGACCAGAAACGTTCACGTTCCTGATTTGCAGGTAGGGGAAGGGTAAGTGAACTTTGGGCATATCCTGAATTTCGAACTCAAAGTCCCAAAGGTACCTGCAACACACCTTTGGGTGTGTCTTAAAAATAGGGGCAGGCCCGAAATGTGTGGTGTCATCTTGGTTCCGTTGCATAAGGTTCGGAGATACGGGGCTCATTAAAGCAACATCCCGAAAATTGCCGTTAAGTCCAGCAGGTGGTTTAACAGTTTATACTCTCCCTCCACCTTGGTTTGGGTGATTGGAACAATAGTTCCCCCCAAGCGTGTCTTTGAGTGCTCAAACTTGATATGCCCCTCCACACATCATGTTGATAGCAATGGTTTTGAGACATGGTTCGGGGAGACATCCCCCTTTCTGTGACAATACGAATCACTCCCCGTGAATCGATTCCCTTGGTGTCACAAGTGGCCTCCCAACCCCCCCAGCCTCAGCAGCTCGCTCGTAGAGGTCACGCACGCCGGCGCCTCGACGCGAAAAAAGGCGAGGGGGTGCTTAAAAGACAGTCCCTGCAATGAAACAGCTATCACTGCAGCATGGAAGGCTTTCCCTCAAAAAGAGTCCCTTTGACAGAAACAACACCCTGACAGAGTGCAAGAGGTTCCTGAATCTCATCGTTGAGTGATGTCTTAGAAGTTAAGCGTTCGGTGAGATATATCTTCAATCCCTTTAAACTCCAGATGCCTAAAGTAAGGGCATGCTTCCTTGCAAGATTGGATTTCTTCTGGGCGGGAGGGGCATCCTTGGGGGTGGGGCTATGTCCACAAGGAACCTTCCGGCATGAGCCTGAAGAATTGTTGCGAGTCAAAAGGCCGGGTTCCTTAAAGGATACATGGGTGCGCCTCAAGATAGGGGATCCAAAACATGCTATGGCTTCCCCGTTGACATAAGCGTACCATCAAAGAAAAAACACCCATATCCCATCATGTCTGTACCACATCCCCTATGACTACAGTACTTTGCCACTTTCAACCCATAAAACCAAGTTTCCGACAAGCATGCATCCCAAAACCACCTGCCTTGCAAGGGGAGCCTCAACTGGAGCGGGGCACTACTACCAGGAAACATACTACCAGCAGGTAAAAGGAACAAGGACCGATTTTGACCAACCCAGACACTTCCCCCTGGCGCCGCTTGGTATTCAAAGCAGCCACGATGAACAAAGGAGTAGAACCAAACAAACCGGCACTGGACAATTAGAACCAATGGGAAAACAGTGACATGAAGCCATCTATGTTCAACCTGCCATCTCTGCGATCATCCTAAGCAAAAATGCGCACAAGCCGGTGCAACGCATTCGCCTCGTGCTGGAACTGACGAGGGTCCAGGACTCACTCGTTCAGAGCAGACCCTGGGGTGTGGAATTGGGAGGCACCCCACTCCTCTTGCCAAGTGTCGCTTCGTCCGTTTTGTTGTGTGCGCTGCGCGTAATGACAGCAGACGCCTGGGCAGGGGCTTTCTGCCATCGAGCTTGCTGGCTCGCAGTTCACAGCTACCAGAAATAGAAGCGGGGGTGGGGACCCGACCATAAAAGCACCCATAAGCCGAAGAGTTGACTTGTTGTAGTGGGAAAACACATACATGTTCAACCAAGAAGCCAAAGATTCACGATCCAACGTCAATAGCATTCAAATAAGAATCATGGAATCCCAAACAAAGTAAGTGGGTAGTTGAGAGCCCTACGTAGGGTTCCTTGGGGTGTGCTAGGGAGCCCCCGCTTCGGATTCCATAAAGGAAGGGCCGTCCCCGCCTTCGGCGCCGGCCTTGGCCTTTGCCACCGCCAGCAACAGCTTCGAAGCGTCCTCACGAAATCGCGCGCGAAGCCGAATTTGCTTCATTCTGTCATTGCTTTGAACTGTTGGTCTTCCTCGAGAACAGTACAACGGCACTGTTTAAGGCGCGTGTGGCCAATCCATGACGGTTGCAAGAAGCAGTTGCTTCTAGTCCAGCATACAATTGCCCGTTCCTTCTATGAGGACCATTGGTGTGGTAGCTTCAAAGAACCATCGCCTTTCTCGCCGTCTCTGCCCGGACCATGGCTTATGAGTACGCATTTGCGGGACAAAACATGGGAGATGGGCCTCCCAAATCCCTGTTTCAAAAGGAGGATAGCCAGTAGCTGGCAAGGCCTTTGAACGGCGCCCAAGGTTCTTGGGGCATCTTTGATTTTGAGAAAGCCTAGCAGTTTTGGGGTTCTGAGCATGCATAGTAGTTCTCTCCGGCAGTTGCAGTTCCTGAACCTGACTCCATCTCAGCGCTCCATGTGGATTGTGACACCCCCCATGCCCCCCAAGTGGGCCATGGACTGAATTGTTACTGACCTGTGCCATGGTCAGCATGTGCGGGCCACGGGTCCCTTCCCAGCAACCCTTACCATGGTTCTCTAAAGGCCATGGCCGTCCCTAGCCACACCAAGCAAAAGGGTGTTTTTGACTTCGCGCGTAGTCGAAGCACACACACCAGGTGACAAGGTGGTTTGACCATGTCACACATGCGAACTGAGGAGCCAATAGCCTGGCCACCAAAATGGCCTCCATACTGAAGGCGTTCAGGACGAGCGCCGCCTGAGCAGCCGCGAAAAACACAAAAAAGGTAGTTGCAGGACTGTCTGGGTGTTTAGGGGGGTCCTTAAACTTGCTGGTGCGATAAATAGGGAATGAGGGAATGAAACCAGGTTATCTTGGGGTCACTCCAACTCATTCCCTTCCTATCGCACCAGCACGTAAAGGATAAATCACAAAAGACACCTTCTTTACCAAGGGATCCTCACCTGACACAAATGTATTCTTTAAGGGATAAGGGGATTCGGGAAGCTGTGGCGGGACACTGAACAAGGAAAACTACGACCATCTGGCATAAGGCAAAAGGTGCCAAACTAGGTGCCCAATGTGGGGCGCAACAACACTTCTTCCCACCCAAAACCGCAAACCCCAAACCCAAAATTCCTAGCTGGTTTGAATGGAACCCCATCCGACAAGTATATATACTTGTAAGTCTCCTTTTGCCTCAATTACCCTTTGAAACCAGGGAAGAAAAAAGATGGAAAGCGAATGGACAAGGCGCCGGTCTGCGTATGCCATTTGCTGGGAGGGCCCTGTGAAACGCAGTGACCCAAATACAAGCTGTTGGAAGCGCGTGTGTGTCTTACGGGGGATGTTCAAACAGTTGGCTTCCTTCTGGTTTCAACGGGGCAATTTAAGGTGGGTGCCACACTTCAGAAGTATTGGGTTTCGTCTCAAAAGGGTGAGACCCCCAAAGCTTCCCGTTGGCCTCCCTTGGCATCAACTCCAACATGGGCCACCATCTCAAAAAATATACTTCTCAAACTGAGAACAGCGACCTTCAGCCGAATGTGCGGCGTCACCGGAGAATTGCTGCGCTGCTTGTCTGCCAAAGCCTTCAAAACCTGCTTCATCAAGGCCTGCTTCTTCGCAGCACTTCTTCCTATTCTTCTTAGCCGAAGGCTTGTTCTGAAAGGAAGGCTTGTTCTTTGCAGAGAACTTGGCCTTTCTTGATCCCAAAACTCCTCGCCCTCTGCGAACTGGACGAGCTCCAGAGTCTGCCGGCATGTTGCGCACGCGCGTGCTTGATTGTTTCATCTCTTGGGCCGCCTTCTTCGGCGCAGGTCATTGCTGAACTGGAAGCCCCTCGTTTTGCCCAGGTAAAGCGCGATAAGCCCGGGGCCGCAGAGGCTGAAGCATCCAGCACCTGCAACGCAAGCGAAGGCAAGGGGTGCCCGGTTTTGACGCACAAACTACATTAGCTGGGTGTCTTTTGGCACAATTCGCCTTATCTGGGAAGGCAAAGGGACGACTAAACCAAAGTGGGAAAATGTCACACAACTGTTGCGGTTCAACAGCAGGGGAGCCATCAAATCCAAAACATTGTGGCTCTTTGGGCCAGCCCCCGGAAAAAAGAAAAGAAAGAACCAGCACAAATAATCAAAGATATCCCTCAAAAGAACAGCCAACATCAAAAAAACTGCTCCTGCGACACGGCCCCCACCCCCCCGCCCCGAACAACAAGCACCCGCAACAAACCACCAATGTGTGCCATGCACACACACACACACCACACACCACACACCACACACCACACACCACACCGCACACCGCACGTGGTGTGGTGTGGTGTGGTGTGGTGTGGTGTGGTGTGGTGTGGTGTGGTGTGGTGTGGTGTGGTGTGTGTGGTGTGGTGTGGTGTGGTGTGGTGTGGTGTGGTGTGGTGTGGTGTGGTGTGGTGTGGTGTGGTGTGGTGTGGTGTGGTGTGGTGTGGTGTGGTGTGGTGTGGTGTGGTGTGGTGTGGTGTGGTGTGGTGTGGTGTGGTGTGGTGTGGTGTGGTGTGGTGTGGTGTGGTGTGGTGTGTGTGTGGTGTGGTGTGGTGTGGTGTGGTGTGGTGTGGTGTGGTGTGGTGTGGTGTGGTGTGTTGTGTTGTGTGTGGTGCGGGCGCGGTGCGGGGCGGTGCGGGTGCGTGTGCGGGAAAGGGTGCTGGAGCTCGGGTAATGAAAACGGAAGCAACAAGCGATATAAAAGGGATGGCTGGCATATTGGATAATACGCTGATACACGATTGACATTGGTTACGCTGAAAGTGGAAAGGGAAAGGGAAAAGGAGTGTTGATAAGGCATACTACATGGAGGCGAAGGTAGGCAGAAGGCGAAGGCAGGTTGGTAAAGGTAGAAGCGTAGAAGGTGAAGCGTAGGCGTAGGCTGGGTGCAGGTGCAGGCGCAGAAGGCAGGAAGGCAGGGTTACAGAAGCGCAGGCTGGGCAGGCGATGGCGTGAAGGCAGCGGTGGGCGGTGGGTGTGTGTGGGTGTGGGTGCAGGCTGCAGGGGCTGCAGGCGTGAAGGCAGGCTAAGAAGGCAGGGCGGGCAGGCTGCAGGCTGCAGGCGCAGGCTGGTAAGGCAGGCTCGGAAATCGCAGGTTCAAGGGCCATGTTTCCATTCTCAACTCCCAGAGCACAGGTATATATAAATGTACACTGACAATATACGCAATATATAATATATAGTCGTATAATATAAATATATCGGCGAGCGGAAAAGGGCAGAAAGGGCCATAAGGGGGGAGAAGGGGGAGGAAGGCAGGAGGCAGGCAGAAGGAAGTCAGCAGGCAAGGCAGGCAGCAGGCAGTTGCGGCTGGAGGCCAGCAGCTGCTGCTGCAGGCTACATGGTGGGCTTAAGGTCAGCAGGAGCAGGGAATTGTCTTTTCGCAGGTGTGCCAGCATAGCAAAGCACAGGTGGAGGCGTGGGCGTGCGGCGTGCACGCTGTGGGCAGGCCAAGGTAGCAGATAGCAGGCAGAGGTGTCCAGGCGTGGCGTGCGCCACACAGCAGGCAGGCTAAGCAGGTTGAGGCAGAATTCGGCGCTCTCCTGGACCAAGCGTGCCACCACACCACACACACACACACCAACACACGCACACCAACACATACACACACACACACCAACACCAACACACCAACACACACCAACACACCACACACACCAACACACACACACACACACACACACACACACACGCCAACACACACACACACACACACCAACACACCAACACACCAACACACCAACACACCAACACACCAACACACAACAACACACCAACACACCAACACACCACACACACCAACACACACCACACACACCACACACACCACACACACACACACCACACACACACCACACACACCACACACACACACATCACACACACACACACCACACACACCACACACACACCACACACACACACACACACCCCACACACACACACACCACACACACACACACCACACACACACACACCACACACACACACACACCGCCGCGTGGCTCTCCAGCCTCTTGGATCCATCTTTCATGTCTCTCTTGTACTTTGCCTTCATCTGTTCGCTGCTTTGCTGTGTAGGCGGGTGCCCAAATGGACGGGGAGCACTGAAGCCTCCCCACCAAGTGGCCGGCCACACACTCTCCACCGCATTTTGCGGATCCGCGGGCTTGCGCGTCAAGTACTGCTCAATGAAATAGGATGTGAATCCTGACTGCGTTGCTGCTTAAAGCCAAACGAGCACTCGCCTTCAGGTGTCACCAAACCACTGGTTCGTATCCGAAAGAAAAACATGTGTGATCCAACCCATAGGAGTCACCCAACAAAACCCAAAAAGGGTTTAGCGAGAAACAGGATGTTGTTTCCGGCACGCTGGAACGCAAGGCGAGTCTACAAATGAAAGTGCTAGTACTCTTTTTCCAACGAGGGTTCTGGAAGACAAATTACTGAGTCGACTTGATGTAGATTGGTGGTTGAGGTCGGTGTTCCCTGGGTGGTGCCACTAACCCCCAAGAACCAGGGCTTGAAACCTCAGAGCAACCAATCCAACCCACGTCACTTTGTATACCCCGAAAAGGGGTAAACCACAAGAACTGCCACCATGGTTCCCTATCTTAAAACTTCAAGGATTCCCCGACCAGACCCGCACACTCCCCGCGCGCTGAACTGTGCAGCACCGCCTCCGTGGCCACTGGCCGAGACTTGGTGGCTGCCACCAGCAGCCGCAGCAGCAGCGATGGGGGCAGCGCCTCAAGAGGGCTTGAAGCGCGCGAAGAGGAGCCAACCCGACAACCAAAAACAAAAACGGGGTAAACATGAAAGCTGGAAGTTTGGCGAATAAGAGCACGTTCGGAAAAAACATAAAACTCGGCACTTCTGTTCGCGCGCAAACCACCTCAGTTGCAACATGAAGCAGGTGCATAGTAGTCTCGGAGCAGGTTCGGAACGGTTTCGGAGATGGGACCATCGGCTCGCGCGCACTGTTGCGAAGCCGTCACAAAAGTGAACCCTCTGCAGACTTTGGGTGGGTCGACTCTACTTTTTTGAGGGAGGGCATTGCCCTGAGTGGGTGCAAACTATGCAAAACACTGAGCAAATTTCAGTTCTGTTTGAAATGAATTCCAGCACTGCATCTGCTTCTGTCGCAGAGTCTTTGCAACTCTTTGACGGTCTCCATTTCTAACCATGGCCTTGGAGGCAGAGGAGTTATGAATAAACTCATAAAAAGGAACTGTAAATCCAGATACTTGTACAACCTGTGGTTCTTCCTTTCATCTAATCTGATTCTATCCTCATCCCTCACTCCCTTTATATCACCGCTACAGCGTAGAAGAGTAGAAGTGAGGGAGTGATAAGAGATGAAAAATGCTTATTCCCTCAACAACTGTGGTTACCGTCCCTCATATGCGCACGCTAAACCAGTGTGGTTGCCCCACATTTCGCAGGTGTAATGCATTTGCGGAGGCAAGGTGCGTCTTCTTATGTCACGCCATTCTTCTCATTTTCTTAGTATCTGTGTGAAATATTATTTGTGTGAGGAATGAAATTAAGATGGCATGGGAAGGAGAGAGATTCCCAAAGTGAATCAGTTATTCATTTTCTGAGTTTCCCTTCTTTACTTAAAAAAGAACAAACATGAGGGAAACAACAACCGCAAGACCCCAGACAAAAGATATTGAGCATGACCAAAACATGTCCCTCAGGACTTTGCTTTTGTTTCTGTGGTTTGCTTCGAAGTCTTTTCGGTTTTTCAAATGGGAGCCCGTAACACGCGTGCTTTCCTTGGCCTTGCAATTAGGATGCCTTTCAAGCATGATTGTCTTGGTTTTGCAATGGGAGGCCGTACAGGATTGCTCAAAAACAGGCGCATGAGTCACATGAGGAATTGTTTGACCTCAGATTCCGCAAGAATGGGTTGGTTTAGTAAATGCGCTGCTTTTGGGACTAAAAAGAAACCACTCAGAGCATTGGCTGCTGTTTTAAGTTGTTCAGCTGGCGTAACGATCAAAAGGTGAACCTCTGCGGACTTTCAGTGGGTCAACTCTAAACAATGTGGTTTCCATGGTATTCACTTTCGCGGGCTGGAGAGATAGAGAGAGAGAGAGAGCGAGAGAGTTTGAGAAAGAGAAAGAACCAAACAAGAGGAGGAGGAAGAGAAACAGAAAGAGAAAACGAGAAGGAGAAAGAGAAGAAGAAGGACAAGGACAAGAACAAAGATAACAAAACGAGAAAGAGAAGGAGCAATAGTAAAAGAAAGAGACGGAGAAAAAAAAGGGGACAGAGAGAGGGATAAATACAAACAGAGAGAGAGAGAGAGAACGCGAGAAGGGAAAACAAGTGGGGTCCAAGCTTGCAGCTTGAAACACACGCGCAAAACATATAACAATCAAAGCAACAAACAAAAACAACAACAAAAACAACAACAAAAAAAAAACAAAGACAACCACCAAATTCTAAAGCCAAACCGGCCACCCCTCCAAGGCCACCTCCATCCGGCCTCCAGGGACTGGCGGCGCACCATGCGCGCGCAGGCCTGGAGATGTCGTGGCGTGTGCTTTTTTCGAGGGCACCGTTTCCAGGTGGGTCAAACGGAAAAAACCCAAGAAAAGCCGGGGGTCTGATTCCTATTTTTGACAAATACCCATGTTACAACTGGCCCCAAAGTGTTTTTGCGTGTTTTGTTTTAAACCACAGGTCGCCATATTTTGCCTTTCTGCTTGTTTGAATCGTGGCTTCAATACACATGCTTTAGTGATGCTTTCAAACAAAAAGGGAAACAGGAAGTGTTTGTTCAAGCAAACGGAGGAGGACCCCCCAGTCCGCTAGCTGCAGGTTCGAGGGCTGTGCCATTTTGCCCCGTGATTTCCACGGGACCACAAGGGTTGCTGGTTGATGTTAAAGGGAAATCCTCCCCCCGCCCAAACAAACAAAAGCAAAAGAAGCGAAGTCCACTGGGCAACTGGGATGAGCTGGCGGACCTAGGAAACCATATCTACCCATTCTACATGTAAGGGAACTCCCTGTTTCATTCCCAACACCCCTGTTAATTCCCGGAGAACCAGCAAGCAAACATAAACACTTATACTTGTTGCATTTGCCCTCCCACGAACATGAAACCAGATTGGGTCCTGGAAACAATCCCGGAGCCCCATCCCTAAGGAAGTTCTATGCCATACTCTCTGAGACTTTCCTACAAGTCCCTACAATCCCCAAGCAACAAAAACAGGGACCCTGTTTTACCCAAGTTAGGCTCAGATGTGTGGAGGTTCCTAAACCCGGGGCCCTGGTTCTCAGAAGGGAGCATAGCTTGCTTGCTGTTTCTCAGAAAGGATGCTGGGATGGGTTTCCTTTGTAGATTATATAGGGATGTGTAGGAAAACCAGGAAGGAAGCCAGAATTCGGTGGTATGCTTGTGGGTGGACAACATAAACACCCCTCTAATTGGTGGTTTGGATTGGTGGATTGGTGTTCCGGGGGTGGTTCCCATTTATCCTCTCTACATGCCTCATCCCTTGGTCACTTCTAGAGTTGGGATTGTAATTACCTCCTTTTCCTTCGAGTCATCTCTGTAATCATAATGTCAATAAGAACTGTTATTCCGAAAGGAACCAGATGGAGAATGAAAAGTGGAGGAAATGATGGAAGAGCTCACATGGCATTTATCTTTTGTTATTTACGGTTATTATCTTTCTTATTGGATTTTACTATTTACAAATTTACATTAGTTATTATGTTTGTATATTGGATATCCTTGAAAATGGAAAATACAACCATAAAATAGAAAAGTTACTGTTGTTCCTATGCCTTGTCTAAGCTCTGTTCTCTCTATCACTCACCATTACAATTCTGGCTTATTTTCAAGGATTGAAAAGCCAAGAATGAACGGTGATGAAAGAAGAATCCCAAGGTGTTTCACTATGTATTTCTTTTGGAGGGTTTTTTCTTCGGGTTCCATGTCTCATTCCATTTCTCACCATAGGGGATAGCTTTTCTTGGGATCATTCAGTCCTTCCATTTCTCCCTCCCTGCATCTCTCGCCCGCTGAAAACGCAACCCATGGCCTGCATCTCCTCGCCCTCGATGCCCCGCTCCCCGAGGCCGGCCACTACGGAGGCCACCTGGCAAGAAAAACAACTTGCGGAGCTGTCGGTTCCCCAAAAAGGGAAGCCACCAATGCTGGCGGTTTTCCATTGCCAGCAGTTTTCCTCTTGGTTGCTTGAGGGTGGCCTCTTGGTTTCCTTGCTCCTTTGGGGTTTCCGTTTGGGTTCCTTTGGATTTCCTTTGGTTTCTGCCCACTTGAAAAGGACAATGGTCCAAACCACAAACCCCGCCCCAGCAAAGTTCCAAGCTAGAGGATGAGAGTACTCAGCAGTTTCCTGATGCGTTGTCCAAAAGGCCATTGTTGCTGGATGTTTATGGCTCCGACGGACATTGGAAAAATGTACGAAGGATCTCTTTGATGTGACCAAAACGGAGCCATTTAGAAGTTAAAAGCCACCGTGGAAGAGCTTGTCCCAGTGGGGAAGCAACTGACACGGGCCTAGCTTTAGTCCACATCTCTTTTGGTGAGGGCATGGTCATCGGGCCCGAACCCCCCAAACAGGGTTGTGTGCAAATAAGGGTGCCTAAAGGGTAAAAAAAATCATCACATAGGCAAACGTTGGCCATTCCCAACCGGTTTCTTAGCTGCTTAGTCGCCCTCATAAGGGATCCTTGTTTTGTCTGTCCCAAGGCCCCGGGGGTTCTCCCTTTGGGCAATCAACTACCCTGGGCTCAAGTCGATCTTGCGGAAAGCAAACAACCACAGGGCTAGCTAATTGAAAGGGGAGTCCGCATGGTTAAGCCGACTTGGGGAAAGGCAAAAAAAGAATCCCTGTTCGCGTTGGCCTGCATGGTTTACCGTACCTGGCAAATTCTGGGCTCCTCTTCCCCCTGAGCAAAAGGTCTAACCTTTGGTAGGTTTGCTAAGCAAAACAATCTGCCTCCGAAAGGTCTAAGGGGCTAAGGTCATACCAAAGTCCAGCCATGAAATGGGCTCACCTCTTCAGAAGCCCACAGTCTAGGCCGCCGCGCTGTGGCAAAGGGAGCGCCCTCTACTTTCAGCAATCCTCGGCTCTGAAGGCTGGTGAGGGCATCCATGACGCTACGACACCCCCGCCCAAAAAAAATACATAAACATCAAGAACGCAAAAAGTTACCAGCAATGATGTATAGTCACCCCTGCGGCAGGGAATGCAAGTGGAGGCCATTACAAACACTTTGTCCAACACTGCACTTTCAAGTTTGCGACATTGTGTGTGTGTGTGATTTTGATTGAATTAATGTTGGCCCTGGATTAATCAATACACCTCTTGCTGATTTATAGGGGTGTCCCAATGAAGAGGCCCTAACACAAAAACCGCCGGTTCGGTTTTGAAACCGGTCAACATTCGGGAAGGTTCAACCGAAGTCTTGATTGCTAAACATGCAAGGGAATCGATTGGGAACCATGTTTACGACAATTTGTGCTTGGCTTGATTGCAAAATTATGTTCAACTACGACAATAATTCCAAAACCTCAAACAAGCTTATCGGCACGGGAGTAATCAGTGGTAAATACACGTCCAAGCTTTCTACCACCCGCCTTCTACCACCCGCCGGCCCCTGTGGTTGCCACCTCCGGCACAAAGAAGATCGAGTTCACTCCCACCCCGCCTCCGTTTACTGGAACCCAAGATGGATCCGAACAAATCCAAGCCCATTGACCCTGGAACTTGCATTCCAAAATTACGCCTTGTGCGAAGCAAACGACAGAATTTAAGAATGAGCTGCAAGCCACAGACCTGCCGCCTATGCTAAAATCTTAAAGTGGAGTGGCCTCATTATTTCACCATGATCAAAGTCACCCCCGTGCAGTGGGGGGCTAAAGGGAAACAACCACATGGTCTGACTTCGATGAACCCCAGAAACAGTGAAATAGAAACCCCAGGAGTGTGGAGCGAGGTTGCACGAGGTTTGGAGGTTGGATGTCCGACCATCCCACCATCCGACCACCCGGCCGGGCGCGCGACGCCCAGGGATCTTCTCAAGCTGAACGCCCCCGCTGACCATGGCCTGGACATGCGGTCGATAGGCAGGGAATGAGTTGGCATGACCCCAAGCTGGCCTATCCCCTGTGTTTTCCTTAATGGAACAGGTTCATTCCCAAAACCCGGAAGGTCATTCCCTACTGAGCACCTGCAGGAAAAGGACCCCAATGGAAAGGGGGGTCCTACTGGGCATGTGCAGAGTGCACGCCAGGCACCAGTCGGTTGCTGAGAAGTACTCATCATAGGGTTTCATCCAACTGGTGGACTACAACGGGAGGGTCGGTGCTTTTTTGAGGGTGCCATTTTGGGCACCCATGTACCTCAGCTTCTGCCCCCCTCAAAATAGCATGCTTGATCCTGGTTACTATAGAGGGTAGTCGACGAACATATCGAAAGAACCTACGATCCCTACCAACTCCAATTGAAAAGGGGCAAGGAAAAGGAGCCTTGCATTGTCTACAACCACCTGTTTTTGGGGACGAACGGCTAGCCCTACACATCACTCGACCATGGCTTTTGAATGCACCCCCACATCAGCATCACGGACCCTGTGCCACATCCATTTGCTTGCTCGTTGGCAAAGCGGGTAGAAGGTTGCCCCTGCTCGTTTGCTCATCCCTCAAACCCGGCCAGTTTGGGGTGTTCTTTTGTTGAGGGGGAAACCCCGCAACAAAACCGTCACTTTTGTGGGTCCCGCCCGATTTGACGTACACCCAGTTGATGAACAGGTCAAACTGACCGTGGCAGACATCCGATGTTATCACACCAGCCTCCAGCACCTCTGCCACCGAGGCGGCGTCGCCCTTCGGCAGCAGCTGCCTTGGGCTTGCCACGTGCGGAGGATCCCGTTGCTTTGCCCAAACTCTGGGGATTTGTGTTTTGTTTCATTCTCTTCACCCATCGTTCTTCAGAAACCACCCGTTTTTCTTGGGAATTGGCGAACTGTTGAGGAGAAGCACCCTGAAGAGAATGGGGAAGTGCAGCGCGGCCCTATTTTCCCTCTTTCCTTGAAGGTCAGATGGCTTCAGTCAAAGTGCGGCGTGTCTGCACCCCCTGAGCGACGAAAAGGTCGGGAGCCCCTTTGAGGAGCTACCGTTGTGGAGCCTTGTGACCCTTTCGGCCACTGAGCTCAAAATTCATCCGGCCGACGTGGCCCTTGATTGTTGCTGCCGGCTGGACCTTCGTCACCAGGTCCGCCTCATTCTCTTTTCCACCCACCTTCACCACCGCGACCTCCTTGGCAAAGACCTTGTCTTGAAGCCAGAGGTACCTCGCCTGGATGTGGCGCGTCTTGCCCACACCCTTCCTAAGGCTCATCGCTCGAGCCGCCGTGCTGTCCACCTTCAGCATGACTCTCGTCACCGCGTAGCCCCAGAAGTTGATGACCCCGCGGATGAACTCCGCGTGCGTTGTCGTCCTGCACATGCCGTAGAACTCACTCTCGGCTCAGCGCCACCACCTTCTGCCCCGCGGCTCCACTCTCTTGGGTGAGAAAATCTCCACCACATCCAATGCCCCGATGTCCGCAACCAACTCCGCTGCACCGCGGCTGCCAACCTCCTCAGCCAGCATGTTGATCGCTGCGTCCCTCACTGCGCCACCAGGGCCCACATCTTCCTCCTCTACTTCTTTGAGCAAATTTTGCTCCTCAATGTCCACGGATCCGCCCTTCCTCTTTGGTGAGGTCAGCCCGTCTCTACTCAAGCCAGGCTCCTCCAACGCCACGGGCTGCTCCCGCTCGTCACTTGCTTCCTTTGATGCGGCCCTTTTCTGGGACCTCCTCTTTTCTTCTGCCTCATCTTCTAGGCGCTGCTTCCTCCTCTTCTCTTGGTCCGCAGCATCATCATCCTTGATCCTTTTCAGGATTCTCAACCGGCATTCCTCTGAGTGCCCAACTTGCTGAGTGCCTCCTATGATGGATACGCACCCCCCACACCCAGGCGTCTTTCCGCACTTGTTCAGCATCTCTCTTCTCACAGGCCATGCCTTACCTCTTCCTGGCGTGCCTGGGGCTGGGGCCTCTCACCTGCCGCGGCGGGTCGTGATTCTGGAGGCTGCTCTAGGGCCTCCTCCGCCCGAGCTGCCCGCACCTCTCCTCCAGGTCCGGGACTACCCCCAACGATCACGACCGGCGGGGCTGGCAGCTGCTCTTGCTGCGGCTTCGGCTGCGGCTCCAGCTCGACGTACTTCTTCACATCCCAGGGAACTCCTCTCATCCCTTCTTCTATCTTGCCCCACTTCTCTTCTGCAGGTAGGGCATGATGTCCAGTGCCTACGATGACCCCCTGATCGGTCATTGCCAGCACCGACCCAAACCTGTTGTGGGTTCCCAAGTACCGACCCGCCTTCATCTTCTCCAGGTCTCCTCGCCGCCCTTTCCCAGCTGGCTTGACCAAGATCTTCTCCGCTTCACCCACTTCTTTCCTGTCCTTCTCTCATCCGGTCCTTCCGTCCTCGCCGATCTTGAAGCGATTGATCTGCTCGGCCGCGTACCTGGGCGCCCAGTACGTCAGCGGATGCCCCTGAGGTACTCCACCCTCGAACTTCTTGGCCAGCGTGAGAAGGATGGCCCTGATTCTCCACTTGACCTCCTTGACGGCCACCTCTGCTTGCCCATTGGCCCTTGCATCTCCTTGCGGCGACTCCTCCGGCACCGCTCTGGAAACTCCCCGTGCCTGCTTTGCCGCCTCCATCTTCATCTTCACCAGCGATCTCTCTCCATCCGACTTCAGGACCACTTCCCTGTAGCCCAGTATCTCCAGAAACCTCGTCAACGCCTTCTGCGCCGTCAGGTCCACCACTCCTTTCTGATTGATCGCTGTGGCCATCAGCATGCCCGTGTCTCGGTCGACCGCCACCAGGTTCGGCTTGGCTCCTTCCTCCTCCCTCATGTAGAAGTAGTCCAGGCACACCGTAGGAAGCCGATCCTCCCGATGGTCCACTCTCCGATGGACTTGGACCACTCCTCTTGCCTTGATACATTCTTCGCACCAGCTCCTGTAGACCGCATGCCCAGTCGCCTCATGCTCCTTTCTCTCACGAGCAGACGGATTGGCTGGGCTCCAGCCCGGATTCACCGCTCTGGCTTCCACCGACTCCTCAGCAACTTCTCCACCAGCGTCGCCTTGTCCAGGTCTGACCGGAGCCTCATCTTCCAACGCCCATACCGTCTCGCTCTTCTTCTTCCAGCCGTACTCCTTCCACCATGGTGGGATGTCCTCATCATCCTCCTCTTCTTTATCCTCCTCCTTTACCATGACTTTAGGTCTAGCTCCCAAGCCTGATGCTGCCGGCACTGGGCCCTCTGCGCTTGATGTGCCCTCCGGCGACGAATGCTCCACCATTGCCACATCCCCCTTTTCCGCAACTTCCTCCTTTTCTTCCAACTCCAGGTAGAAGTTGTAAATCCCATTTTCCTCCACATGCTCCTTGAGGGCCCACTCCATCAACTCCTCCATCTGCTCATGGACCGGGTGCGCCTTCGGGATGATCGTCCCACCTCCGGAGGTCATCCAGGCGCTGTGCCCCTTTTGATGTAGCCGACCTGCGCTGATCAGCACCTTGTGGACATCCGTGGCCTGCCCGTTCAGCACCCTCTTGACTCCTCCAGCATCGTACCCCGAGATCTTCACCGGCCCGTAGTTCTTGATCAACTCCCCCGAGGCCGTCTTGAAGTAGTTTTCCTTCTCCAACAGCTTCTTGCTGTACCTCTTAGGGAAGGCCGTGACCGAGGCGCCCGTGTCCAGGTTGCACTTGAGCCACTTCTGGGCTGCGGCATCCTGCTTTCCTTTGGACTTTCCTCCGGCAGCTCCTCCACCAGCTGCCCAGCAGTCCTTCTTCATGTGGCCGGTCCGTCCGCAGTTGTTGCATTTGCCCTCGAACGGACGCGTTGAAGCCCCCTTTCCTCGTCCCATGCTCTGCGGCTTCGACCAGCAGTCTTTCTTCTTGTGCCCCACCTTGCCGCAGTTGTCGCACTTGCCCTCGAAGCGTTGGGCCTTTCCGGCGCCTTTGCCCTTGCCCTTCACCAGCGACGACAGGCTCCCTGACACAGCCTTGACCAATGAATCCACGTCCATGGGCACCGCCTCGTTCGCTGTGGCTTTGCTGAAATTGCCCGACACCGTCATCTTGCTCCCCGTCTTGGCCTCCATGAACGTGACCACCTCCGCCTCCATCTCCTCGAAGGTCTTGAAGCGGCTGTGGTTGAGCAGGAGGTGCGTCTCCAGCTCTCGAGGCTGTCGGGCAGGTCCTCGCGCCTCCCGAATTGGTCTTTCTTTTTGTTGTAGCGGCCTCTCAAAGACTTCCATCTTTCCAGGGCGTTGCTCAGCGAGTCGTACCCCGCTCTGTCGGGGTTTGTGAGGGCCTGAAGCATGATCCTCTTCCGGCCGCCCGTGGCCGGATCATACTTCTTGTGGAGCATTCTCCAGGCCTCCAGCCCATTGCCCCGAGGGGCATTCTCCACCAAGTCGAAGACCACGCCCTCCGTCGTGGCTCTCAGCGCGGTGTAGAGCTGCTCATTGAACTCCATCACCTCATCCCATTGATCTATAAGATCAGCACCCGTGCCGTAGGCCTTGTCGATCTCCTCGGCCACGATGTTGCCTTCAGAGCCTGCCGCCCACTCCGGAACTTCTCCTCGGCGTCCTCCCCCAGCGTGTAGGGTTTCCCCAAACCTCTCTGGTCCACCAGGCCTCCACGCTCCTTCTTGCCGAGCTTCGCCAGGGCATCCGGCAAGCTCTGCAGCGCTCTCAGCACCTCCGTCTCCATGCCTCCTGAGCCACTGGCTCTGCCCTGCTCAGTGGCCTGCAGCCTCACCTGCAGGTGTGTGTTCTCCTGCTGGACCTGGATCAGCTGCTGTTGCACCTGCTGCAAGGCCCTCATCACATCCTCCACCGAAGTCATCGAGGCAGCCGATGATCACCAGGTGCAGGTCCACGCTGTAGGCCAGCACCAGGACCACCGCGGTGATCCACCTCCTCCAGCGGCCTCCAGCCGCTCGGCCACCCAAGACCAGGGCCCTGCCACCAGCCTGCCGGCCTTTCTGCTCCGGCTCACCCCGGCCCGGCGCAGGCTGACGGTCTCGCCTCTGGCCGATGACCCGGCGTCTGCCCCTGGACTTGTCCAAGGGCTCCGCTACCATGCAGCGCGGCCCTATTTTCCCTCTTTCCTTGAAGGTCAGATGGCTTCAGTCAAAGTGCAACATGTCTGCAGGAAGGCACTGCTAGACAAACGAGTGGACAGCCTGCAAATGGAAGTACTTTTTCAGGATTGTTTTTGAAGCCAAACTGCGTGCTAAATGGTGGGGTTTGAAGAATACAAAAGTATCAGCCAAAAGAAGCAATGTCGACCCCACATGAATCAACCGAATCGGTGGCCCCTTTGTCTTGGGACACCCCTCGCTCCAACTCAACCAGGTTTGAAATCAACTACCCCTGGGCCCCTGGGTTTAAGTTTACCTTGGGGTCAGCCAAAAGTGGAACCTGCACGGAAGGGTTCGAGCCGTGCTCCCCGTTACGGACGAGCCCGCAAAATGATGGGATTCCACGACAGTGTTCCACAACAACGTACTGGTCCACATTGTGTCTGGCCCACATAAAGCTAATTACAAGGAATTGCGCTAAGTCACATCATTCTGCAGAAGTCACATCAGTGTTGGCGGGCGCTGGTCCAACTCAAGTCACATCAGCGCGCAGTAGTCACATCACAGAAAGCGAGTCTTTGTTGTTTTGTGTGGCCGGCGCCAATCAACAGAAGTGTTTCCTAAACCAAATGGTGTAAACCGTGGGCGCGTTGGTCAAAGCCAATGACACACAACAAACTGATGGCCATCACCAACGGACGTTCTGCAAACATACTCCAAGCCCCAGCTGCGGCAGCAGACTTGTCAGTCTCTCTCATTTCGTCCAAACTGCGGCTGGGCGCTTCACAAAGCGCAGTGCGCGATTGTGCGACGCACACAAAGTTTTCCACTGCTCTCGCTCCTGTCTGTTCGTGAGCAGCTTCGGGTAGACCACCTTCTTCATGAAGATCTCACTCAACTTCCCTCTCCCTGCCGCATTCACTCTTCAGGCTCTGCACGTAGAACTGCGCCAGCAGTCGGATTTCTTAAGACTTTGTGTTGGATGGAAGCATCAACCAGGGAGCCACACAGTTGGGTCTACCACCTC